AAAAAAAAAACACTTGTCGATATATAAGAAAAACTTTTTTTTTTTTTGTAAAATCAAAGTTTGACATTTGTTTGCATTGTCAATAGCTTTGAAAAAATACCACTGCTGATTTGAAGTAAAGTATCACATAATTTAAGTGACCCGTTTCAGAAATTCTGACTCAATGCTGCACAGTGGTTCGGATCGCAAATCTAGCTGAACGAAACTATTTAAACAAATACTCGTTGATGGATCTTTACACCACTTCTTACCTAGGAGATTTTCTTTACCATGACTAAAAATTAAGATCACAGCAAGAAAAACAAATAAATTTGAGAAAAAATTGTATAACAGCGCTTAAAGATTTGCATGCCTGTTGTATAATTTTTTAATTTCAGAAAGCAGAAAACTCGCGAGTTACTATTTTTTTTTAACTCTTACATAACCAAAGTTTTTATAACTCCAAGCATTTTTCTGTTTTAACACACAACCAACCCGCCCCTCCCTTACATAATCAAAGCTTTTATAGCTCCAAGTATTTTTCTGTTTTAACACACACCCTTTTACCTTTTTTTGTTGGTTTTCATATGTTAATGCTTTAATAAATGCAATTTCTATTTGAATGTATTGTCAGGAATGTATTCCAAGTACCATTGAGTATTTTAAAAACAAAAAAATTTTGACTTTCGTCCAGCTAGATTTGCTATCCGAACCACTGTGCACTACTGAGCGGATTTAGACAAGACTTTTTATGTATATAATAAACGAAGTACAAGATGACATATGATAACTTTCTCCAAATACGTAAATGTACATACATATGCATACATGCAGCCCGTGGCCGGCTAGTAAATATATAAAATATTTTGATGTAATAATTTGCTTCACTTTTATATACATATCTGTGCTCATATGGAATAGTTGCTTATGTCAAAGGCTGATTTTAGAATAATGCGGCATTCGCAGCATACGATTCACGGTGCAGCGAACAGAGGTGGCGCCGTCAGTGTGTGTTAAAACAGAAAATGCTTGGAGTTATAAAAACTTTGGTTATGTAAGAGTTAAAAAAAAAATAGTAACTCGCGAATTTTCTGCCTTCTGAAATTAAAAAATTATACAACAGGCATGCAAATCTTTAAGCGCTGTTATACATTTTTTTCTGAAATTTATTTGTGTTTCTTGCTGGGATCTTAATTTTTAGTCATGGTAAAAAAAATCTTAAGAAGTAAGTTGTTTGACATTTGGAGAAGTGTTGCTGAAACTTCTAAAAGACAACAAGGTGTCCGTGATTATGTGATTAGTAAATTGAAAGAAATATCTGATGAAAATGCTCGTTCCCAAGTAAATAAAGTAAATTAAGTAAGTGACTTTAGATTCGTAATCAGCAACCTAGAAAACCCCCAGATACCCAGTTACATAGAAATCTACCGATTTTTTTTAATTTTCTTCCGCCATATTAGATCCGCCATTTTGAATTCTTGATAAGTGACTTCAGATTCGTAATCAGCGACCCAAAAATCCCCTAGGTAAGAAGTGGTGTAAAGATCCATCAACGAGTATTTGTTTAAATATTTTCGTCCAGCTAGATTTGCGATCCGAACCACTGTGCAGCATTGAGTCAGAATTTCTGAAACGGGTCACTTAAATTATGTGATACTTTATTTCGAATCAGCAGTGGTATTTTTTCAAAGCTATTGACAATGCAAACAAATGTCAAACTTTGATTTTACAAAAAAAAAAAATGTTTTTCTTATATATCGACAAGTGTTTTTTTTTTCTTTTTACTTCAAAGTTCATTTACAGACGATCTAATTGACCGATTATGAAAATTCAACGGTCATTTTCATTGTTTCTTCAAGAACATATATTCTATTTGTTTACAAATAATTTTTAAGGGTAAATGTTTACAAATAAAACACCTCTTTGAGGTAAAATTTTCGAGTGACGAAAGCTGAACTAGAAACACAAAATTTATGACATCAATTTCGTGACGAAAATTATACGCATTTTTTAACTGCCTTTGAAACGTACGGAAAATCTTTTTTTATTCACACGAATCGCTGCAAAAGTTCTGTGTTTTATTTTGTGTTTCTAGCAGTAGACGGAATTTCGCAACGTTCCTAATAAATAAAAAAAGATTTTCCGTACGTTTCAAAGGCAGTTAAAAAATGCGTATAATTTTCGTCACGAAATTGATATCATAAATTTTGTGTTTCTAGTTCAGCTTTCGTCACTCGAAAATTTTACCTCAAAGAGGTGTTTTATTTGATGTTAATTAAATCATTAATTTTAATTACATTATTATTTTGTTATTTTTGATTATTTTCAATAATTTTTGAATTTTTTTAATTACACGATTAACATAATTATTTGTTAATTTCTATTATCAATCAACAAGCCGAACAATGGATAAAAATTAAGAACTATTTATTTATTTTATTCTTATCCAAATCTCAAATTTAAACATTAATTATTACCTTTATAAATTTTTAGAACGAATATACTAAAATGTGCAAAGTTAATGAATTTAATTTATTTTAATGAACTCTTTAATTTCTATTTTAGTT